TTCCTTCCTTCCTTCCTTCCTTCCTTCCTTCCTTCCTTCCTTCCTTCCTTCTTTCTTTCTTTCTTTCTTTCTTTCTTTCTTTCTTTCTTTCTTTCTTTCTTTCTTTCTTTCTTTCTTTCTTGGACATCAACTGAACAGAATTGTGTCGGCTTTGATCTTAGGCGCTCCCTTGTTTCACTCTTGTCTGGTTATAGGCCTCAGGACTTGGCCTTTTCCCTGTTTGTTGTATCTATGAAAACTAAGCCCTGGGAGACCTTATTAGAAGAAATTTGCCGACGTGCTCAATCCCTCATCAAGGATGAATTTCTGCTGCTATCAAATATGTTAGCTATGTTATCTATTGAACACTTGCTTGAGTGCCCCGCATGCAGCCCATTTTGATGTTATGATTTTTTCTGACAGCATGACAGTCATTACTTATGGCATTATTTATGCCCATGAAACCTTTGAAAACATTTTGTATTATTTGTCTATCTACCTAATCCATCTGCATCCATAAAGACCTTCAAAAGGCCAGCCTGCTGGCTTTGCTTTATTTAACAGCCTGACAGTGGCATTTCATCTTTTTAACAGTGTATGCAGTCAAATAATATGAATTTCTTTATGACATGACTCCATGATGGAAAGGGCCCCAATTCTTCAGTAGTTGGTGTCACTATTTATGCCTCACTGCTAACTACAGTGCACTTTCTATTAGGCTGCTCTTTACACCCAGCGAGCAGCCCAAGGTGCAAGGCAGCAAGAGAATCACAATAATTTCCACATCAAATGTTTTACATTAATATTCCCTGTTTCCTTTTGTTGCTCTCCCCCAACTCCCCCCCCCAAAAAAGCAACATGATTTTAAAGCCAGCCTGCAGTACAAAATATATGTTTGCATCGGCTTCTTTCTAACACCTTTTCAAGCTGTAGCAATTTCAGGAGCCATCCCTTTGTCACAAATCAGGAGAAAATTAGAAAAAATATAAGGATGATGGGCATACATAATGCACATATCTATGGTGGATTCTGTTTGGTTCAGCATCATATTTAAGAGGTTCTAATGGTGGGCATAGAGCCTCACCTACTCAGCATTCACATACCTGCTTTAGCTTCGAAAGACACTCTCTTGGCTTGTAGATGTTTTACATGGAAAGATCTGTAAGTGCCCATTTAAACACTATACCTTGCAAAGTAGAAGCTCTGAATAGCATGGAAAAAATGTACACTTACTGATCTTTGCCATAATATTGTCTGTTAATGATTTAAGATGCCTCTTTATTCATTGTCCGTAGTGTTAAATATCGTCTTTTAATGATATTAACCACTGTTGCGTACTCATTGTTTTCATTGTCTTTCATTGTTGCAAGCCACCTTGAGTCCTTTTCAAGGAATATGCACTGGTCTTTGCATTTTGCAAGTATGCCATTGTGTGGGGAGAGCATTAAAAAAAAGCTTACCATATGGAACATTGATTGAGGATAGGCACACATTTCCTCTGTGTAAAATTCAGTTATGCCTTCCACACCACTGCTGCTTTGGAACATGTCAGCCATTGGCCAAAAGTCTGTTGCAGAGTTATGCAAAAGGAGGCGAATTGCTTTAAGTTAAGAAATGACTGTGGACATTATGTGTTCTATACAATGAATAAATAAATAAAACTCTGCAACAAAATTTTGGCCATTGTGTGACAGAGAATCTGTTCCTGGCGGGTGGGCATGGCATTCAGTTGATGCTTGCTGGCTCACTAACTCAATTTCTCTTTTAAAGGTGTTCATCACACAGGTTTAAATATATAAACTGATATTTAAACCTGTGTGATATGTATAAAGGAGCCAATTAGATAGATTGGTAAGAACTGCCCTATGCAGTAATGCACAGCAATCTATCTAACACACACAGAGAGAGGGGGGGGTGTATATATAAAGGTTAACTTTTCCTGGAGAGAGAGAGAGAGAGAGAGGGTGTGTATATATAAAGGTTAACTTTTCCTTTTTTTATTGCACTCTGTACCGTGTTTTCATTGATGGCTCAGAAAACATCATTGCTTAAAACCAGGACTTTTTTCTCCAAGACCTGCATGGCCCAATATTTCAAGTGGCAGATGCTACAACACACCCCTCCCTAGGGTTCAGAAAGCCAGAACTTGCCACATGAGGGTGACTGAAATCAAGATGATTCTGTGTTGCAGACATGATGCATAACTCTGGCATCCTTCCTGCTCCTTGTTTGTTAGTAATAGCTTGACTGAGTATTGAGACTTAACGCTAAAATGCTGCCATCAGCACCAACTACCCTTTAGATTAGCACATTTCTTCTATTCCCTGGCACATAGTTAGACCAACTTAATGTCAGAGTGTAAAAAGGATACTTGCTAAATAATTTCCCAAAGCTCCTTCTCAGTATTTAATTTGTTTTTCCCCCTCTTCCCTGTCCCTCCTTTTCCCTTCCCTCCTCCCCTCCCTCTGTTTCTCTCTGCCGAAGGGTACACCATTAAGTCGAGCTGATTTAAGGGCTGTCAACATCAACCTCTGCGACATGTGCGTAATCCTGTCAGCCAATCAGAATAATATTGATGATACTTCGCTGCAGGACAAGGAATGCATCTTGGCGTCACTCAACATCAAGTCTATGCAGTTTGATGACAGCATTGGGGTCTTGCAGGCTAATTCCCAAGGTAAGAACTGCCCTATAATACTTCTCTATAGTGCCTACAGGGACAGGACCTGGCAAGAAGAATATCCCTCACTCAGTAATTCAAAGGGACCCTACATCAGCTTGCTTGACAGTTAAACCTGCTGATTGGTATGATGGGTTTTTAAGAGACGGTCGCAACACCGCACTGCACTGGGCACATACACAAAAGCAAATTTTTGGTGATCTTAGCAAGGAGACGACAATTGACAGAGTGGGGAAATTTATTTCATTTCCCTCTCAGATGGGTGATTGCTAAATCTGGAGAATCCTGCAGCCTAGAAGTTCATAGCAATAAAGTCACATTGTCACACATCACAGAGCCAGAGGTGGCTTGTACTCACGCTGGATGCAAAACGGGATAATTGCAAATACTGTTTGACAAGGGTGTTTGCTTTGTCCACAAGATACCAATGAAATGCCAGACAGCACAATACCAACACTTATCATTAATAATAACTGTAATAATAATATTACCTTTTAAAGAGTAATAAAGAAAGAAGAATGCCAAGTTTATAAAGAGACCTTTTATAAAGCAGGCATGAAAAGCCCCAGTTTCTGTAAAGTACCCTATGATTTCTAGATCAGAAAATATGATTGATTAATGCAATACCTGCTTCTGACTTCATATTATTTCTGTTTCCCACCTTTACTATTTAAGGCCATACAATGAATTAAAACACACATAAAACAAACACTCTGAAAAGTGGTAAAAACAAACAAGGCTCTTTTTCCCTGAGAGGGTGTGGCCAGAGTCAAATATTGCTTCATGGAAAATAAAACCAGTAAAAACACAATACATACCAAAAGTAATCACTACCTTTTAGCAAAGAATATTTGTTTTACATTTAAAAAAAAACACCTTTGTTGTGCCCACTTACTGAAGAGTTACAGTGATCAATGCAACCCCACCCTTTCCATCCTATAAAATGATGATTTAAAGTCTTCCTTCTCTACTTGTACCCCCAGTGCTAATCTGAACAGATAGGACTTCATACTTAGGCTGAACTAGAAAAAGAGTGACAAAAGAAAGGAAGAAGTGGATGTAGGAATTGAGGATCTCTGGCAGGAACTTTTAAACCTCTGGACCCTAAGGAGCTCATAGATGGGCTTCAGGGGTTCAAAACCATGAACCAGGCCATGGAATGTGCAGTTATTTTGTTTTGTTTTGTTTTCCAAATTCTTCCTGGAAAATAAAAAATACTACTTTTTTCTAAGTCAAATTAAAATGCTGTAAGTATTATTTCACTTTGGGAAAAGGGGTCCATAGATTTCATCATATTCACAGAGGGATCGGTGACTTAAAAATGTTAAGAATCACTCATCTATAAAAACACGACACTGACTATAGCAGTAGAAGCAATGTTTACATGCTACTTTTCTGTTTAAAAAGAAGACTTATGAAAAGTAAAAAAAAATTAAAAAGTAACCTAAAGTACCAGGAGCCAATCATCTGTCCGGCCTTCTGTACTATAGTTTCTCACTCTTATCCCCACCACCGCCACCACTGTGGCCACACAGAATAATTGTGTAGAAAAGAGCCCTTATTGGTGTAAACAACCCCCTGTGCCTATTATAAGGTTATTTGCATTGGTGTTTTTAAAAACCTGGACACATTACATAGGAGCTCCTCATGGAAATGACTTACTGAATGGTTCTTTTGCCCATCTGGTCACTTTAAACACAGATAACCATGTGAGACACTGCAGTTCTGAATAAGGCCTATGAGGCAATCACAAGGCATTGCCTTCACATAAGATTAATACCTCAAATGGTGTGGGAGTACAGTTTGAACATTCATCTCCACCAGTATTGGCATTTGGATAAGATATGAACACTGTATGCACTTCTGACAGAGAAGAAGACTTCAGTGAGATAAACCCGTTTAAATCAGTGACCCATTGGCATACCAAGTTGGTGCAGGAGTTTGGTGTACATCTCTGCCTGTGAAAGTTTGAATTAATGCTGGATATTGGCTACCTATTTCTAGACTGTGCTTTACAACCACAAAGGATGGAAACATTTATTTCACTGAGATGCACAACATGCTCAGTTTGGTACAGAAAAGTCAGTATATGAGACCTTGACCTTATCAAGAGCTGATTCTTACATTCTAAATAGGACTTGACTTGCACAAATACTTGCCTGTGCAACTGGTCAACTCTCTTGAGCACTGCAATGGCAGCAGCTAACTAAAAAAAATGTAGTGGGGATTTTCATGGGCATAGATTTTCCTACCGCATCATAAAATGCAGAAAGAATTTACCATAGAATCTTCCATTAATATCTATATCTCCTTTCTACTGCTCATGCAAGTAAACTATTTTATGCAAAGGGGCTCAATAGTTTGTTTCTTGCCAGGATCAGTCTGAGTTTGGAAGCCATTGAACATGGACGTCATTTAATAATGGGTCTGGAGCTGCATATTCCTGTGCATTGATTTTTTTAAAAAAAAATATCCCATGTCATCTGGGGTTTCTCAACACTTTAACCACAAATACCTGGAATCAGCAAGATGTATTTATTAACTCTCCAAAATGCTGGTTGATGATTCAAAAGTCACTTAAAAAAAATAATGCCTTTGTATCTAGAACTACCACTTCAGTGTAGGCTAGAGTTGATGGAGAATCATAGTTGGGATGGGAGATACATATGGAGTAAGCCAAACAGCTCTGAGTTGGAACAGTGCAGAGAGTATGCTCTTTAAAATTCCAAAGTACTCAGGAAGAAAGCACTTATCTTCATGGAGGTTTATGCCACTTATGTGTGCACCACTTCTGATCTTGTTATTGTGCTTTCATAACCAAACAGTAGATTTTCTTGAAGGATCTTAAATACCACGGTTCACATTGTCAGAATCAATTAGATCAAAGGGGTGGCATAAACTTTGCTGGAAATTGTATTTGGAATGACAGATTCGTCCATGAGATGCCGTTTTAGTGTACAATCCAGCAGAAACCTCTCCTGCAGAAGCCTCTATTGAATATTCATGTCAATAGAGGCCTGCACAGAAGATTGCCCCCCCTTCTGTCCTTAATATGCAGGAAGCAGAACTGTCGCAACAGAGAGGAGGCGATCCTCTTTCTGCTGATCAGCAAAGAGTGCCTCCACTTTGCAGTTCCTTACTGGCGACTAAGTGCTTTTATTTACAGAGCTGGCTGTCACTTCCCTTTTGCTTAAAAGTTTGTGCATTATTTATCCTGGGAAAACATTTCAATTCACATCATTTGGTACAAACCCTTACCCACTGCTAAGGCATCATTTTCCACTCTGGAATCCTGCATGGCAGCCTGGCAACCAGATTTGCACCAAAAGCACTGGCAGTGAGGTTCTGAGGATGCATGGCTCTAGTCTAGCTGTCCTTCTGGGCAGTTAGTTAGTGATGGAAGGTCCCTACTTGTCTTCCAGTCCTGTTTCTGTATCTTTAACTGTAGCTGGATTAATAAACTTAGAATTGTTCCGAGACAACAGAAGAAAAGGAAGAAAACCCATGTGGTTTGGGAATACAAGTGTGAGGGATACATTTATAAGTCTACTAAATTGTACGGACCAGTTGTGTCCAACAGGATTCTTTGTTGAGTTGAACCCTACAGAGCTTGGAGAAACAGGGAACGAGAAAAGTCCTCAAAATCATCCTATGTTGAGCCCAGGCTCTCTTGTTTAAATTTAGTTCGAAAATGAAGTCTGGGCTCTTTAGAATCAGCTTGAGTTAGTACGTTTCACCTCCGGGGACACAGATTTTATTGTCTTTCTCTGTCTTCATAGGCAAAGGATTGCCAAGCACTCAATATCTTGCCTTACACTGATGCAAGCAGCTTCCATTGGGCTGGGAATGGAATAATAAATGTTATCAAGCCCTCACTTGTTCTTGGGTATGGACATGGAAAGACAAGGAACAAATCAAGTATAAATAAATGTGGCAGCTCTCTGACTATATGTATGAGCCTAAAGTCTTATTTATGTGTATAAATTAGGTCCAGAGGTATCAAATGAGTTAGAAGGTCAAGCTCTCCACTTACAAGGTGCACATGGTTCCATTCCATTTTTCCCACTGCTTTTAAAAATTGTTTTTATACTATCTTTAAGAAATAACCACCAGAAAAAGATTATAGGACTTAAATTTTTTAAACAATTTTTTAACCATGACCCCCAAAACTGGAATCATTGCAATTTATTAATTTGGAAAGACTCACAATTAACTGGGGGATGGAGAAGTGCTGTTGCCCCTCTCCTGAGGAATCAGCATGCTTCCCCCCTTTCTTTCTTTCTTTCTTTCTTTCTTTCTTTCTTTCTTTCTTTCTTTCTTTCTTTCTTTCTTTCTTTCTTTCTTTCTTTCTTTCTTTCTTTCTTTCTTTCTTTCTTTCTTTCTTTCTTTCTTTCTTTCTTTCTTTCTTTCTTTCTTTGCTGTACAAAAGGTGTGATCTCGCTGTCTTCCTCCATCCAAAACAGCCCATGCCCCACTGTGCCCATGCCCCAGTCGTGGGTGCATCCTGATCAGTGCAAGCTGTTTAATATGGACTGCCCTGTACATTACATTCCTGTTCGAGAACTTAAGAGGATCTGTCTCAACCACATTTGTCAGTTTCACCTCCCTGCTAAACCAGCACAGGGCTAAACTGGGTCTCCATCAAGGGTTCCAACAGCTGTTTGTAATCTTAACAGTTTGTTTTGAGGCAGTAAATCATTGCTGGAGCTGAAACATTGTTTCAAAAAACATTTTTTAAAATGGTGTGCTTTTCAAATGAGCAGTAAGGAACACATTTGAAACTGACAAGATCAAATAAGCAAACACCAAAAAATTGCATTCCCAAATCCCATTTAAAATCACTTCTGCCTGCCCAACAAAGAAAAAGGGAACAAGACTGAAAAAGACCTTTCTTTTTCAAAGCTACTAATAATTTATACAATTAATGGTTAATGGTTGTACAGCAGTTAGTAGAACATCTGAATATCTCTAAATCCAACAGGTTGTGAAACATTTCT